ACAAAAAGAAGGCTTTCGGATTCTTTTTGGCATTTTTAGCAATATTTTTTTCGAAGTTTTTCACTGCAGTGCGACAAACTTTTTTAGCTTGATTTCGAGCTCTGGCATACAGGTTATAATCAGACTCGCTGCGAGTTCGTAAATAACGCTTGTAGGCTTCTTTCTTGGTCTTTAGCTGAGTCTTAACTGCACTGGTCATCCACTGGGATTTTTTGACTCCTCCAAGTGTAATCTTGGGTACATAGGCATCAACTGCAGACATAACCGTGTCTTTGAGAAACGACCATGAATCAGCCACATTCATGTCCTTAATACAGTCCGAAATATTCGCCGCATTCACTGTTGCACGGAGTTTATCATAGTCGCCTTTCGCAAAGTTCAAAACGTTCACGCTTCCGAAGCGTCTTTTCTGCACAACACTTAATATTGAAAAACAATGATTGGTGGTGGCTTTTGCCCAACGGAGCCTCGTGGCGAAGCTCATCTATCATCGATTCTTCACTAGTAAACACAAGATCTAGAATATTTGGGGTCTGTTTACCCCTTAAATGGTTTGGCTTGGTGATGTTCTGGATTAAAAATGAGTCTCGTACAGACTCCAAGAACAGGGATGCTGGGTGATTCTCATCTCTTGGAGAAGATTCATCTGCCCAGTCTATGTCTGGATGGTTAAAGTCACCAACGATCAACGTATGCGACCTGCTGAATGACATGCTCGGTAAAAGGCTGTTTAGTACTTTATTGTTATCAGAGGAGCTGTTAGGTGATCTGTAAATGACCCCAATGAGAAGGCTATTGACCTTGACCTTGATTAGTTCCTTCATCAAGCTTGGGCTGCTCATCCCAATATTTAGACTGGGAGCAAGATGTATGAAATGGATATTATCTGACCCCAACTCCTGGAATAACTCATAAGCGTTTGAAACCGAATCAGTGTTTTGTAAAAGCTTTTTCCTGATAATATGTTGCTTGTTCTGCATTTGTTTGATGTTCCTCGGCAGGGCACTAGGGATGTTTTCTTGGGGAATTTCGCTTTTAATAACAAGGTTTCTGTAGAACGAGGAATGTTTTTTAGACAAATCTTCTGCAGCTTGAAGGACTGAAGGCATCGTTCGAATGTGCAGGTCTCTTCCACTTTGATTTTGATTTTCTCTTTGTCCCAAATAGTGCACCTACACTTTTTTTTATCTTTCGCGTCAATACTGTATGCGTAGCGCCGAAATTCTAGAAGTGTTTGATCTTCCATTTGCTGGTAATAATATTTCCTAATTTCTGGATTTCCCTTGAGTACAAAACGGCCTCTGTTCCTCCACTTAAGGCCGTCCGCTGTAAAATTTTTGACGCGTCCTCATTGCCAGAGGACGCAGATGGTTTGCGGAGAATGAAATACAGAATTTTGTAAACTTACTGTACTTCTTTTCAGTCCATCTTCACATGACGTGCTCTGCAAAACAGAGTACCATAAGAAGGCAGAACTTAAAATTAGTCTTAATAGTAACTCCTAAAGCCAAAATTTCTAAATAGCCCGGAACGAGCCTGTCCGTGTACGCGGATACTAAAAAATATTAAAACTAAAACTAATAGTTAAGCTAATGCTGGGACTTATTCCAGCACAATTTTTTTCTTCGTCAACAGGAACGTGGAGGATGTACCAAAGCCCGTTAGTTAGGTTGATCTTCGGGTAATGGAAACACAAGTCATCGGGCGTCTCTTGCAGGCACTTAATCACTTCATTTTTTGAGAACATGCTGAATTTTCGGCCTCCTGTTTGAGAATCGAAAAAGCTATTGACCTTATGATGAGTTCGGGACTTCCTAGTCCCCGGTCACGCTGATGCGCCGCTTTCGTCGTCCTCCGTCTCCGAGTCTTCGTCGGATGTAACGTTGGACGTGTTCCGTCTATTTGCCCTCCTTTGGGCCAGCTGTAAGAAGTAATATGTAACTGAAGTAATATGTAACGTAACTCATATGTAAGAGGTAATAAAAAAGTAACTGAAATTATGCAATAGGGAATTGATCTTGATTTTGAGGAGGAGTTGAGGTTGAGGAGGCACCTATCATGACCTCTGGTATGAAAAATGAATGTTTTAATTGCTGCTGCTACCAGGATTACATTTTCTGATCGTATATTCAAGTACTTTACAACTCAGATGCAAGATTTTTTGTTGATTTGAAATAATCAGACATACAACTACTACTCCTAGAGCTTTCTATCCATTTCCCTAAACGCCACATTCCAGCAAGATATATCAACATTCATTTAATTTCTAACAAATATACGCAATAGTGACAGATAATTCCATATGTTTTTACGCTTTGTCAATTTGGGTCCTCTGTCACACAGCATTTTTGTGAGATGGAAATTCCAATTCTGCATACAGCCTGATGCATGCATCTAACATTACTTGGCTTGACCTACCATCGTTGGATTGATAAAAACCTAACTATTATAGATAGGAGAGAGACTAAGAGACTGATTAAAATTTTATGATTATATTGATAACGGCCTCCGGACAATTGGAAATTATCGGTCATGCAAGGCCTATTTAACAATGTAAACAACTTTTGAGGAACTATCTTTATCTTTGTTGAGACAACAGCTATAAAGACAGAGCTATTGAGAAAGGCAACCGCGGGGACGCGTGACGACCGCTAGCTGTAGTACGGTTTGTGTCAACAATACGGCCGCGAAGCTTTCACGTAAGGAACGGTCGTTTAGGACAGTCTTACTACTCAACGGAAATGAGTATCAGATCAACATTTCTGGTAAATCAGAAATTTGAGTGATTTAAACTGATGGATTTCCAACTTTGATTGTATTACCCTTTTCTTGTGCTAAAGATTTTGTATTACTAGAGATTTAAAATTTGCATACCTATCGACATGAACGCTCCATTGATTGCATTGTTGTGTGAATTCAGGGCCCCGGGCCCTAATGGTTTTCCCTCACTCATCTTGGCGGCGGCGGCAAGAGAACTAGCAGAACCTGTTTCACTTTTGTTTGCACGTTCACTGGCAGACGGAAAATGGAAGCAAGCAACAGTTACACCGGTCTTTAAGAAGGGCAGCAGAGCATTGGCTAGCAACTATAGACCTATCAGTCTCACTTGTATCATGTGTAAAGTGATGGAACAGTTGGTGAGGTCACAAATATTGGAACGCCTGTTGCGTAATAACCTGATTAGCGAAAGTCAGCATGGTTTTGTCCCAGGTCGATCGTGCATCACTCAGCTACTCGAGGTTATGGACATCTGAACCAGGGTTGTCGACGAGGGTGGGAGGGTTGACGTAATTTACATGGATTACCAGAAAGCATTCGACTCTGTTCCGCATCGTCGGCTACTGGCGAAGATTTCGGCACTTGGGATAAGAGGGAAGGTGCTGGAGTGGATGAGGGACTTTTTATCTGGAAGGAAACAGACAGTTGTAGTCAATGGAAACAGGTCGGAAGAAGCCGATGTCTGCAGCGGTGTTCCTCAATGCTCTGTTCTTGGTCCGATTCTCTTCGTCATGTACATTAATGACCTGCCGCAGCAAGTAAAGACGAACGTGCGCATGTTTGCAGACGACACTAAGCTATTTGCTAGAACTGATACCAGAGAGGGCACCGTGTGTCTCCAGGAAGACTTGGACCGGCTTCAGGATTGGTCTGACAAATGGCTGCTGAAGTTCCACCCAGAAAAGTGTAGCGTTATCAAGCTGGGTGTACAGAAGTCGGAAGGAAAATATTTTATGAGAAAGGGACAGGAACAGCAGCTTGAACTGAGGGAAAGTGGGGTGGAGAGGGACTTGGGAGTGATGATGGACTCTGGGCTGGTTTTCAAGGAGCACGTGGCCTATTGCACCGCCAAAGCAAACAAGGTAGTCGGCATAATTCGCAGGTCATTTGACCATCTGACTGAGCATACATTTGTACAACTGTATAAAAGTCTAGTCCGTCCGCTGCTGGAGTACGGACACTGTGTCTGGCAACCATACCATAAAACCCTGTGCAGCGACATTGAGGATGTGCAAAGGCGGGCAACGAAGCTCCTGGGTTCACTGAGGGACAAGCCTTACCCCGAGAGGCTGCGGTTGCTGAAACTACCTTGTCTGGAACACCGACGCTTGCGCGGCGACATGATCGAGGTTTACAAATACCTGCACGGGTACTACAGCGTTCAGCACCCAACGTTCATTAAGGCCACTACAACGCGACTCAGGGGTCACTCCATGAAGCTGTATAAGAGCAAATATCGGCTTAACGTGAGAGGAAACTTCATTTCGCACAGGATTGTCGACTCGTGGAATGGCCTGCCTGATAGTGTGGTCTCGGCTACATCTGTGAACTCTTTTAAAAACTTACTTGACCATCACTGGAGGGACCTGCCATCACTATATAAGCCAGAATGCCAGAATTAGGGTCCTGCATTGAATTGGGTTGGCTTCGACTTTGGGGAGATTAACAGGCCTTGCTAGAGGCCTCAACCATCCGACGAGTTCAAGTTCAAGTTCAAGAATTATGTTATTTATGCATTCGTTTGCTTGATATTTTGAAACGCAATTAAGATTATTTCTCAGTAATCATCGCAACGCATGACATTTATTTACGACCAGCTTAACAATATTTCCATATTAGTGACTATGCATGTAAACATGTATTGTCAGTCTTGTAAATTAGTAAAAGCCACACAAGCACCAAACAAGCACATTGAAAGCTGAGTGGACTGCAAAGTGTGTGGGTAGGGGGAGCGGGATGTTTATCGTGGACCCACAGAAGATTTATAGCCATAGAACAGACCTTCGTCCGAACTATGACAAAGTAGGGATAAAATCTCGATTAACTCTACGGAAAATAACACCATAAACAAGATTCAGAAATGCTTGGTATAGCGATCAATGAAGAATAAAGAGTTAAACCAACTGGTATCGCGAAAATGTTGATTGTGATTGATTCACCTTAAAATAATGTGATTGATTCACGTTATTTCATCACTCCGCACTCGCTGGGTTGAATATTTTCTGAGATATAAGCGTTGATGTAGTTAAACCGTACGAGGTCGTTTAGCGCTAAGCACTATTGGCGAGTGCTAAATGTTGTGGTCGAGCGCGGAGTGATTATTTACAGTGAATAAGTAATTGATTCACGTTATTTCATCACTCCGCACTCTCTGGGTTGAATATTTTTTGAGATATAAGCGTTGAAGTAGTTAAACCGCAAGTGGGCGTTTTGCGCTAAGCACTATTGGCGAGTGCTAAATGTTGTGGTCGAGTGCGGAGTGATTATTTACAGTGAATAAGTAATTGATTCACGTTATTTCATCACTCCGCACTCTCTGGGTTGAATATTTCCTGAGATGTAAGCGTTGAAGTCGTTAAACCGTAAGAGGTCGTTTTGCGCTAAGCACTATTGGCGAGTGCTAAATGTTGTGGTCGAGTGCGGAGTTTTACTGATAGTGCTGTGTGGTGGTTTAAATTAAAATATGATTGATTGATTTCCGCCTTGTTTATACAAGATGCTTTTATAGTCGTAAGATTCGACTGTTCAAACCAAGATAAGGCAATAAGTTTAATTGTATGAGCATAAGTATAGTGCCGTTTTAAGCATATGTTATTTGTCAGATTTTTAAATTTTTTTGATTTGTGGAACACAAAAAGGGGATATGCGTAGTTTGAGTGCCAAATTTTTCAACATAGGATAATGAAAAACGTTACTTTACTTCTTGGCAAATTCGCGGAATTCGTTCAGCCGCGGCGTTCCATCGATCAATAGTTCGACAGTGCGCGCACTGCTTGGAGGGGAAGACATCGCAAAACGGGAGCAGCACCTCATTATCGGGGCGTTATCTGCATTCCTCGCAAGCACTGGAAGATTGGAAACCCTGTGAGGTCACAATAATTAAAGCAAACAATGAGGCCCCAACTGATAATGCAACTACAAGTCTGAAATAAATTGTCATGTCCAGGTGTGACAACCGACCTGTGTGAGGTCATTTACTACACCTCGCTCAAAGAAGACATCATCATCATCATCAATAGTTCGCCACTTCAGCGACTTCAGCGTCTTCAGCTTTTACTACCACATGCATTGCCCATAACACTCTCAGACCAAGAACTGAAACAGATAATCTCAACTGACTCAACACACTATCACTCACAATGGCAATATCAGTGGCAAAACTCCACCGCTAAACTGCTTCCTTACAAAAACACACTTGGCCCATCTCCCTATCTTAATCTGGACCTCAAACGATCACATCAAGTACCACTGACATGTCTGCGCCTGGGAGCAACTCGGCTCACCCATGCTCACCTTTTTACGGGACAACAGCCTGCTCACTGCCCCTCCTGTGACCAAAGATGGACTACTGCTCATCTACTACTGGAATGCCCTGTGCTGCAGCAGCCAAGACAGCCCCTGGACCATAGTGGCAAACCAGAGCTTTTTTAGAATCAGTTCATTTTTAATATCCTCATTTACTCAAGATTTAAACCAATTTCTTATGTATGATAATGCTGGTATCCAGGATACTTTATTGGTCTACTTATAGGACTCAAAAATATGACACATTGAAGATGTACAATCTGTTCAGGTTTGCTATCAGCCTATCACTAACATCAAGAGCACAATACACAACAGGATTCTGGGACCAAAAGTAAACATGAATGCTGACGTTAAACAATCTACTTGCTGCCAGAAGAACTTCCAAACAGGGAAGTTGGTGCGATTTCCGCATACATCGCAGAGCACGTCGCATTTCCCGATGCCGATTAGATTTTAAATGGTAAATGTTGTAGCAGGTGAACTAAAATATTGCTAGGGTAAACGCGGTAATATTTATTTCATTTATTTCATTAACTGGACTAATTAACATTGAGTCCAGTTAATGAAACTTGAGGGAGAGTCTAAAAACTCTGCTTTGCCACTACCTACAAACATAGTGACAAACCAGAGATTTTTTAGAATCAGTTCATTTTTAATTTCCTCATCTACTCAAGATTTGAACCAATTTCTTATGTATGATAATGCTGGTATCCATGATACTTTACTTGTCTACTTATAGGACTCAAAAATGAACTTGAGGGAGAGTCTAAAAAACTCTCTGCTTTGCCACTAGGCACTATGCGCGGTATATTCCGACATCGTAGGTAATTCCGTCACCTCTCCAGCTTTTCCTTTATATTAAGCTTTGTTTTAGTTCCATGCGTTTGTTGATGGTTGAAATGGTGACATCATGCATTTTCGAGTCAAAATACTGCCAAAACACTAGGTCATGGCCATCTAGTGGGAAAATATTGAGATCCAAAGAGAGACAATGCATGACACGTGGTGGAGAGAGTCAGCGGCGTTCATACGGTAAACACCTTACGATTGTGCTCTGTGATTACTGAATTACCTTTGAGATAAAACTTACATTTTCTTCCGTAATTAACGTAAAACTTAAATACCTCAACATCCATCAACTTGATATTGAATTCGCTTTTCTATATACTACCACTACGGGTATATAACTTAAGTGTCTGATTTCATTTTTGCGAACCCGGCTGGCTTTCTCGCCACTCCCCCCTCCTCTTCTCTTCATGAGAAGAGGCAGTAGGTAGGAGCAGGCCTGCAAGCCAGCTACAATCAACTATTTTTTTTTATATTCTTTTATTGGTTTGTTATCATTTAATTTGATTATTATACATTTGTTTGTTGTACTTGTATTGTATTTTCCATTAACTGATCCATTTTTCAATGCTATCATATTATGTAAAATTTAGTTTCTCTGTCATTAACCCCCTGTCATTTTGACTAGATTTCTGTGTAAGCATTACTAAAATCCCTGTGAAAAGCATATTTATTATTTATTTATTTAAGCATTATTCTCTTGAAATTGTACAAAAATACTAGCACCATGTCAGAATTAAGCTCTGATGCGCCAGAAGATGAAGAGGACATAGTGCCTGCAACACCAACGCAAGACACACCAGCTACCAATGTGCAAGTGACAGTGACAGGGCAACCTGGAATTATGCTACCAAAAGATTTGGAAAGCCTGACACAACTACCAAATGTGCTTGATGTTGATGATGACCTTTTTGCTGGAACTGGCACAAACCAGGCATCACAACTTGGAAGCTCCAGAAATCGGAAGCGGCAAAAAAGTACTGAATCTGAAGAAGAACTATATGACTTATTAAATTCAACCAGTGTCATCCAAAAACTTACCAGACCATCAGAAAATCTCAAGAAGCTCAGATCCTTTCCCTCAAACTCAACTGTTCAGTCATCTGGGAATGAAAACACTGTTCTAATTAAGCAGAAGTCTCTGGACACAAGCAAAATTTCTCTGAATCCAATTTTAGTGCCAACAGAACTAAACAAAATAATTCAAGAGACATCAATCAAAGATGTGCGCATAAATAAAAGGAGAAACATCATAGCAGTTGAATTCAAAACTAATGAAGAAGCAGCAATGAAAACCCTACTCTCTACCACTAAACTTGGAAAATGGCAAGTTGAATGCTACCAACCATCATCTGACATGGGAAAAATATGCTCTGGGGTACAAATATGGCACTATCTCCAGAGATTACTTACAGCCAAGTGACCAAGTCAACAATGCCACAATTATCAAATAATGGAATCACAAATGCAGTTGCAGAAAAACCTTTGATGGAAGAGGAAGCAACAGCCACCCTCACCAACCTGATTAGAAGTGAAATACAGAAGCTCAGCATATCTATCTGCAAGTTTCTGAAAGAGATTGTACTGACAGATTTCTCAAACTGCTGACCATAAGTGCAACCAGGAAACACTTTGGCTGTGGTGTTGCTGAGGCCTTGCTGGGGGAGCTGCATGCAGAGACCACCATTACTGAAGAACCTGCTTCAACTTTGGCAACCTTCACAGCAGTTTGCTCATCCACCTGTCCTGGCCCATCAAGCATGGTCACTGATGAACAACTGAGATCCTCGCAGAAGAGACAAACCAAGACAGCTAGAAACTCCAAAAAGAAGAAGACTTAAAATGGCCCATTCAAATTTTAATTCTGTTCAGCGACCTAATGCACAAGAGTCCCAATTTGAAATTTATCAGTTAAACTGCAACGGTCTGAAAGGCAAAGTATCAGAGCTGAAGATCTACATTTACACCAAAAAACCAGAAATAGTGTGTTTGTGTGAAACCTGGCTGAAAAGGAATGAGCCCAAATTTCATGGGTATCAAACCTTATGGCTGCACCAATTGGGAGAGGAGGGGGGCATGGGAATTTTAATCAGGGAGGATGTTACTTTTAAACCAAAACAAGTGATCCCATTTCCAACTGGTTTCTTGGAGTGTCAGTCCATTGAAATATACACCAACTCTGACAGCATCAACATTCTGAATGTCTATAACCCCTGCAAAAATGTTTCACTAGAGGAACTCCAGCATTACA